ATGATTTGGTTGTTTTCTTCTCTTTGTTTGCCGCTCCAAAGGCTAATAAAAAAAAAATAAAAAAAAAAAAATATTATGACAAAAGTACCAGTATTGACAAAGTTTGATGCTAGTAAAGAAATTGTGATCCAGTGTGACGCATCCAGTAAAGGTTTCTGGGCTGTTTTGCTGCAAGATGATAAACCTATTCACTTTGCTTCAAACTATAGTAACATAGAACGTGAAATGCTAGCTGTTGTTTGGGCAACAAGGTATTTTAAACACTATGTTTTAGGTAGACCCTTTACCATCCATTCTGACCACCAACCTCTAGAGTCGATAGCAAAGAAACAAATCAACACGATGCCAGCCAGACTACAGAGACTAATACTACAGATTCAAGGATATAATTACAACATAAAATATGTGCCAGGGAAAGATGTACCCCTCGCTGACTGTCTATCAAGATGCATAAACACCAAACAAACAACCTTCCAAATACCTGATGTTGACGTACATATATACACGACGTCTCAACAATGAAGTCATTTGTCATTGACCGCATCCGCAAACTCACTGTCCAGTTCTCCAAGCCTTAATTCCATACATCACAAATGGATGGCCTAACGAGAAAAACCAATGCAATGGCAGCATCGCTCTGAGTTAGCCATCCACAATGGTGTAGTGCTAAAAGGTCATCGAATCATCATCCCAACGGGAATGCGAGAGTACTCCAAATACTCGGTTTTGAATACTCCACAAACAACACCAAGGTATAGAGAAAACACGTCTCAGAGCCAGACAATCAGTATATTGGCCTGGTCTGAATGTAGACATAAAATACATGATAAAAGACTGTAACCAGTGCCTATCAAAGAAGTCATTCAAAACTCCCAGTACAGCCTATCTACATGAACACGATTGGTATGGACATATTTGAGTTTGAAGGCTCCCAATACATTATAATCGTTGATTACTATGCTGGTTATGTTTGGGCATATAAACTACATAACATGACTACCGGTAGTTCAACTGACATTAGCAAGATTGATGAAATATTCTCCAATTTTAGATACCCAAGAGACTTTATATCGGACAATGGGCCACAGCTTATTAGCAGTGAATTGCAAGAATATTGCCAGACTCATGAGATAAGACATACAATCAGTGCACCCCATTACCAACAAGCCAATGGACGCACAGAAAGAAATATATTCACAGTCAAAATTATGCTCAAAAAGTTTCTTCAGAAAAGGGGGAAAAACCTGAGAGAAATCCTAACAACATTGAGAGACAATCCCATTACAGCTGATATTCCATCTCCATTTACGTCAATGTTTCCCAACAGAAAGGTCAAGACCAATCTCCCATTTCTACAGTATAGACGTGATCAGTCTACAAATAGTTATAAGGAGAAGATTGAACAGAGAGCAAATTCTTAGGCATTACACTACTTAAAACAAACTCTCTATGTAGATTCCAGAAAACACCAGGTTCATCATGGCAATCTGCCACATTCATTAACAAATTATCTAACAGAAAATACACAGTGCAGACGCCTGACAGCACTCAATACCAACGCGATCTATCTCACATCAAACCAGCACATGATAGGCCAACTATGGATATGCAAACCAAGCATACTGCAAGCAAGTTGAACCAGGAACTACAAGGAATAAAAAACACACCTAACAAAATTAATTCACCTGCCAAAGAAAGACCAAGAGACATTGCAAACCTACAGCAAAGTATAAGGATTTTGTATTGACATAAACTGTCGAATTTAAAAAGCTCAAATGAGAACTATGTTATTCATTTTCTATTGTGTTTATCGAGTTCCAGAGTTTTAATTTGATTTAATATTTACATGTTCCATGTATGTTTATTGAGAAAACAAACAAAATTGTTTCAAATAGAAACTTTTTACATTTTCATCCCTGGACTCTGAATCGGTATTTGAACATTTATTTTCTATAAACACTTCGCAGATAACCATTATTTAGCCTGAGGAGGGGGATGTTATGATATCACATTGTATAGTAACTGTAGTAGTGCGCCCTCTCTTGGCAGAGAGTACTATATCTGTTATGATCTATGACCCAAGCTGTTGGCGGTAGCCATTGCTCTCAGTTTCATTTGATGTTGGTTTACATCAAGTGAAACTGAGAGTTGTTTTACTTGAATTAATGAGTTCAAACCTTTATGCTGCATCAATAACATAACAAACATAATGAATACTTTTACATTACAGAAATACAAGAGTCTCATACTGCAGAAGTCATTCCATATAGGGGCTTTCACATTCAAGACAGATGACTGCACACAAAGAATATATCTTAAACTTACTAGTTAAAATATTTATTGCCAATTAACCAACACAGCTATGAGTACTGCTAAGCGGCAGACACAGTTCGATGTGTACAAGCTCCATGTTTTTCGTGCAAATAATCTCAAAAATGGCCTCAAACATGTCACTAGAGACCATTTTTCATGTTACATAGTATGGTTTTCATTCTAACGATGGAATAAAAATATGTATCCACTTCAATAATTGGCATAAACACTATAATAAAAATCATCCACAAGAAAAAAGTTCCACACACCACCACTTTTTGAACACAACACATTGTTTCTTGGGTTTACTCTACTATCACCAGCCAGTTCATGGAGAGTTATAGCTGTACAGAAACTACTTAAGTTAATAATTTAAAAAAATACTATTTCTGAACCCACTCATTTCTTTCTTCCCATCACTCCTGACCATGTCAGACTTAGCTCACTTGAAGGTCCAGCAAGCCCAGTCCAACCAGGCATAAAAATGGCCGACAAGATCTAGGTAAAAGCTTGTTTTTCCTCTCAAAAAGTGTCTCACTCTCCCCATCATCATGTTTACTGTTCCTTTGATGATTGTAACCATGGTATTCAGATTTGTTTACTATATCTTGAATGCCAGTTGTGTTTAAGGTCCGTTGGAGGACTTTAAGACATTTTTGTGATATTCAAAACAAGAAAGGATATGGGTCCATAGTCACCACTTCTCAACTGGGTGCTGCCTGTTGATCATTCAACGCTTGGGCAGATGCATCAAGGGAATACACAACACAATAGCCAACTTGCTCTAACCACAACAACTAGATTTTATCAGCTGTGCTCTCATGATTCTGCTCAATGAAACAGAAATCAATTTGTTTGCAACCTCGCTCATGAACACCAAGGACTGTTGTTCATATTTCTGATCCCTTGCATGGGATGTACGGGCATGTACTGTTAGTATGGACAACCACGATTGTTACATTCCTTTTTCGCATCATGTTTCCTCTGTACCTCCATTGCTACCTCTCAATATCAACACCATTATGTAACTGATAGCTCCACACTGGCCGAGCCTTAGACAGGTCTCACTTCTTTTATGACTACTGATGGATCACCCATGACAATTAGCAAATTGACTGTGAGCCTGGGCCACCTTTATGTCTTCAAGTTATCTCTTTTATCAGATGAGTACTGAGCTTTCAGTCTCAGGACCATGGATACCATACGCCATGACAACACTGTTCATTTACACCACTGCATGATGGTGTCATTAAGATTAGTGTTCACAGCATCAAGTTCTCAAGTTCATCCTTTCTTTTCTACTATACAGCAGTTGACAAGTTCTTATACTTTTCTCAATCTGCTAATATAACGAGACAAATTCTATCATCAGTACTTTTATGAGTGGTTTAATTCCCAATTCTGAGACACAACCTAGAATCATAGCTCCGTCCTGGTCTATTGTTGCCCGTCATGGAGTCGCTTAAGTATGAATCTTGCGTGACCAGGTCTCTTTAACTCCTACTGGTTGGTCTAGGAAAAAAACATCCCACTCACCTTGGCTTTAGCCTGAAGATGCAGCAATCTGAAAGCCCATCCTCTTTATATGACTAAAACAAAAGCTGTCTGTGCCCAGAGTCTAGCCAAAATAAAAGATCAGTTTTGCTCATGCCAATGTGGGTAACCGCACGGGGTCCCACACAATACATGTACATGATCTGAAGGCCTTTAATGGTCAAACCTCTGGCATTTTATGACATATGGTGATTGATCAACAGCAGGATACTAGAAACATAGAACACATTACACTTGTGGTTTATGTGGGTTCCATCCGACATACACCCATGTGAACTACTAGTATTATTTGGTGAAAATTTGAATACGTGTATATAAATTTACTTCTAGAACGCTATGTCTACACCGTGGCCACAGTCACTTG